CAATTAAAATTTTATTCACGTTAGTTAAATTATCAGCCCCGCTGATTTTCAGAATCACGTGACGCTAAAACAAACACAATGTTCACAAAATATTAATAGTAGGAAAATACAAGACAAGAGCTTTCTAAACATATATAGATTGTATGGTTTCTTGTAAAATTTATTCTGATTATAGGTGTTTACATTTTTCATGCAAAAAAACTATCCTGCTACCTTAAACGGTAATGTACATATTCTGAAAACTTACCTTTAACAGCTAGAATTACAAATGCATTTGGTAACTGACCAACCATCTACCGGTGTAGAAATGAAGTATTCATGATCATTACAGTGCATTTAATTATATATGGGGGTCGAATATTACATACAGAGAATAACGCAGTATTTACTCAGTGTCAATGTTTATATTTATTGTTTTAGACTCTGAAATCACCTTCCTAGGACCTTCATCTTTGTCACCAGAGCCATCAGTTGCCCCAGGTGAGTCTGACATTCACATTTCATGTTTTCTTATAATTACTTTATAACTTGGACTTTGAGTACCTTTGATATCTTTAGCATGTTTAATATGTTTAATGATTATCTGAGTGGCAAATGAAAGTTCAGCTTCTGAGTTATGATTCTCCTAATTGGTAAAATAAATTTCATTCATTCATTCATTCATTCATTCATTCATTCATTCATTCATTCATTCATATTGAAAATCTTTTTCTTTTCTACTTTTCAGTCACTACATGTAGTACATTAGCGGGACCCGCTATCAATAAGGTTTCGTCGAATACATCTAATGGAAGGTGAGACTATTTTTAGTTTCTGTCTATTCGTCTGACATCATTTTAATTATTCACATGCCTGCACTGAAGTCAGAACATTAGCACAATGATTTTGACATATAAAAATGTTTTGGTAAAAATCCATGCTTATAATTACCTAATTTGCATGATAATTAGCTAATTTTTACCTGTTCCATGTCTGTTCCATGTCATGTTCTGGGCTAATGCACGGATTTGATTAGGTTTTTGGTAACAATCCATGCATATTAATTGTCTAATTTGCACGATAATTAGCTAATTATTAGCTGTTCCATGACTGTTCACTGATATCTAAAGAAGCATTCATTGAATTATGATGAAACTTGGTACATAGATGCTCTGAACTAATGCACAGATTTGATTAATTACGGGTAAAAATCTGTGCATATTAATTACTAATTTGCATAATAATTAGTACATTTTCGGCTTTTCCACTGATATCTCAAGTACTAATCATCACTTTTCAATACAACTTGCTACATAGCATAGATCCTCTAGGATATGCAGAGAAATGATTAGTTTTGGAGTGAATAATTGTGCATATTTATTATCTAATTTTCATAATTAACCAATTTTCAACTTTCACACTGATATCTAAAGTACAAACCTGATTAGTTTTTGGTAAAAATATGTTTATTTAGCATAATAATTCATAATTTTCAGTAGAATTAGTGTAAAAAAAAATTTTTGTAGAAATTTTATTTATAACTCCTGGATTATACTGTAGAATGTGAATTTTCGCTGCCATGATTTGGAAATTTTGTGGCACTGGTGTCATAGGACAAAATTTCACGATTCATACTAACTCTTGAAATTTCTAAAAATTTCTTTCTCTCAAAAATATAAAACAGTTTACTGTATATATGTTTGTAATGTGATATTATGATATCATCACTATGGATTCAAGTATATTTGCAAAGATATATAAATGAATTACTTTTAAATATTTGTTACTAATATTTGTCTTCATCTTTCAAATTGTTTTCTTCCTAGGCCAACATTCACACAAGGTCAGCCACCATTGCCTGTATCTCCATTACCCTCGCCTCTATCTTCCCACATACCTCCTGCTCCAACAGCGCTGCCTTTGACAAGACCTCCTTTACCTGGTGCATGGGTTCCGCCAGCATCGCCACCAGTCAATCTTTCCACTGAGCCACATTTCATGTGTGTTCAAAAATGGTTGAAGGATTTGCGGTTACACAAGTACTATCCATTCTTCAAAGACTTAACCATGGAGCAGGTGAGTGATTCTGTACCTTTACCATGCCATTATCCTGCATTAACAGGAATTCTGTACATATATTGTGCTGTTTAAGTCAATTTTCTCACTTGTTGGCAGTCGTAAGCAATATACTGGATGCAAATTACAATACTGCTTCAATGGAGTTCAAAAGTTTAGAAAAGTGGCAACCGCACTATGCACAAAAATGTGTACATAGTATGAATGTACAGTAACTGCATTTGACTTACAAATGTTGCATTGATCTATCACCTTTGAAACATTCAGATTTAGGGGTTGCGTGAATGTATTCTGATTGTTGCATGATTGCTGAGCTGGCAGTCACTTTCTATTCTCACTTGATGTCAATGAGTATATTTAGTCCCCGTTCGGACATAGTCCGAAAATGGGGACTTGTGCGTCCAACCGTTCGTGCGTGCGTCCTGTATTTTAGAAATGCCTGGAGCAATCACAATCATACTTCATATATACATCATACATGATATTATAAATATGCACATCAATTTGTTTCACGATCTGATTCAAGATGGCCGAATGGCGGCCATTTTTGTTCTAAAAATCATCAAAATCAAGCATTTCTCAGCTGTTTACAGATGGATTTTGTTCAAATTTGGTATATACGTTGGCCGACTGGTGGCCATTTTGTTTTAATGAATGTGGTTCTAGTGCCATATCTCTGACTTGCTGTGACTGATTATGTTCAAATTTTAAATATTCATTATACATCATGTCATAGATATACAGATATATTGGTTTGACGATCCTATTAAAAATGGCTGAATGGTGGCCATTTTTGTGCTTACGTTGGACATTATAGGACCTTGATGCACATCATAGGACCTTGATGCACATCATTTTGTTTTCGTATAAGATTCAAAATGGCCGACTGGTGGCCATTTTGTTTTAATGAATGTGGTTCTAGTGCCATATCTCTGACTTGCTGTGACTGATTATGTTCAAATTTTAAATATTCATTATACATCATGTCATAGATATACAGATATATTGGTTTGACGATCCTATCAAAAATGGCTGAATGGTGGCCATTTTTGTGCTTAAAAAATCATCAAAATCAAGCATTTCTCGGCTGTTTACAGATGGATTTTGTTTAAACTTTGTATATATGTTTGACAAAATGGCTGATTTTGTTTTAATTAATGCTGTTCCAGAGCAATATCTCTCAATACTTGTTTGACGATCAGATACAAATGTCAATCATTTAAATGTTAAACAATCATATTCCTGACATGTTTATATTCCAGCTATATTACTATAAACAAAACTATATATCTTAAATTCGATAACTAATGGGAACTGTGCCATGCATGGCTTGTTTTGTTAGATTTTACAGCTGCGTGAAGAGGATCTGGAGAGCTGGAAAATAACTACAGGAGCTAAAAATAAACTATTATCAAATTTGAAAAAATTGAGGTAATGTTTTTTATGTCTTTATTGTTTGCTTGATTATTTTTGCAGTTCCTCTTCAGTTGTGTTAATTTTATGTCAATGCCTTTTAATATTCATTAGTTTTCGGTGTCAGATGTATAAAAATGCACGTTATGTATCAATGGTCATGTGATAAATGACTTTGTTGAAGGGTGGTGGTCATTGCACCACATGTGCGTGAAATATGGGTCTCATATGAATAAAGATGGCGACTTTGGCTGTTGCACAGAGTACAAACTGAGACATTACCAAGCTTTAATTAGATAATTATATTGTTGGAAGGTATCAATGTAATCATCTGCGATAATTAGTGCATGTCTTGCCCAGATCAAAGCTCATACTTGTAATTTCCATTAGAAGAGTACATGCATGGCACGATAACCACTATGCTTTAAGTACTAGTACATTGAATCAAAGTTACTGAAGTATCTTGAGGTGTGAGTCTGAAATGTGTAAACCATCTTTCTCTGTCTCTTACAGGATTCAGGCTAAAGGCTTTAATGGAATCATACCACAGGCGTCTGTTATGTATATGTCACCTACAAATCATCCTACGACATACCTTGCTTCATCTGCAACGCATACTGCACCTATTCAGAGCCTCTTTTATATGTCTCAACATATATGCACCAGTGAATGCTCTTGTTCTGATTGCTCATCGTCGCCGTCTAGTCCCAGAGAGAGCTCTGATGAGAACGAGAAAGGTATTAAGTAATTTAAAATGATCCAAACTCACCAGAACCACCAATGTTGATAGTAATTCAACATTTTCATGTTTGTCTAAATTTTAGATCTATTTTTTAATTTTTTTCTCCATATCTTTTGAATAGGCCTGTACTCCAATTTGTACTCAAACTTAATTTGTTTGTTTTTTAATTTTTATCCTCTAAAACCTATTCTAGCACAAAAATGGAACTTTTAAGAAGATTAGTACTCATTTGGTGTGACTGAGAAAGGTTGATCATTTTGCATTTAGCTTTGTGGCTTACTTACAGATCTATAGTTTAACTTTATATAACCATATAGATGTACTAGAAGTTAAAATTTTCTCTTTTTTTGTACGGTCTAGTTTGAACTTCTTGTTTCAGATGATTACTTTTTACTATTCTTACCTTTGGATGGATGTGACATCTACAAAAAATGACTCATCAAATTATATTTTTCACCATATACATGTATATTATTACTTTCATAGATTCCGAGGCAAGTGAAAGCTCCCTTGTTTCACTACCTGATTCCAACCCACCTATCAAGAAAGTATTGACAACATCAGTTGCTACTCAACACGGTTCAGAACCAATCAACAGAGATTTTGCACAAAATGTTGCGAACCGGATTAACAGATCATGTGCGGCTACCCCATCTTACAGTAATGTTGTCAAATCTCTATCCATGGAGCGCATCGATTCAAGATCACCAATAGTCCCTGTGAGTCACTCGCATTCTACTCCTTCTTCACCTGCATCAGAAACCACAATCCGGCAGCCCAGACAGATGTCGCTACCATTACCACCACCAGGGAGCTATTACCCACCTATGAATCCAAACTTGGATGCCGCAAGTCCATTGAGATCTACTGCCATGGTGTTTACTCCAAAGTTGCCAACACAAGAAGAAGCAGCAGTGCCTCCAACAGGACCATACCCCAGAGAAGCCATTGTGCCACAGCAGATTAACATCCCTGTGAAATCCACAGGAAGTGCAGTAAATAATCCTAACATTGAAGCTGCAAAATATAAGACTTCTGTAGTTCTAGTTCCAAGTGCTTCTGCTAGTACAGCCATTGCCATGATGCCTCCATCATCTGTGATGTCTATGCCTGCAGCAATGAGCACTACAGTTGTCACACCTGCTGTTGTTCACCCTGCATTTAGTAGTGTGCCAGTATGTAATGCAACTCAAATGGACCCTATCAATGTAAATCCTGCACCAATAGTAGCTCAAAGCAAAGTCACATGCTCTTCACCTAGAGGAGGAGGTGAGGGATTGCGGACCACACCCCCACTGTTGCCGCCGCCGCCGCCTCATGTTCTCAATACTCCGGCTCAACCGCCAAGTAACACGTTCGGCAATGAACAACAAAACATAATGTACAACAATAATATGCCTCCAAATTACGTGAATAATAGTCAAGGAACAAATTTTCCCAGTAACAACAGTACTAACTTTCCTGTTGCAACTAGCGGTACCACTTTTGCAAACACTCGAGGGTCAGTCATTTGTAATACGACTAACAGTATGGTTTGCACAACATGTGGCCATTCTTGTTCGGGTAATAATCCGATGACAAATAATTCTTCCAGTTTACCATTCTCTTTTAATACTGCATATTTACCTCCAGGATTCATGAATAATGCCATGCATTATCCTAATTTACTGCAAGCTAATCTTAGTAATTTAGTAGCCACCAATGGATACGTCAACCCCGCAATACAAACCACGCCTCGCTATCAAACAACGCCACTGCAGCAACATTCTGCTTATCCAAATGGCGTTGGGGAGTTTTTATATGGACATGGTAGCCATTATGGCATGATGGGGCACGGTGCTCCCCAGTTTGTATCTCCCGGACTTATAGCTCAGCATGGGAGTAATCATCACCACATGGTAGGACACAAGAAACACTTGCCTGTGCAGCCTGTGTGTTATAACTGTGGAGCCGTGGGACACAGGTCATCAGATTGTAAAGAAACATCTTTAGAATCACATCAAAGTAAGTATAAGTGTCTAATATCCGACATTTGATTAATAAAATATCATAAAATAATGTGTACAGTACATTAGATTTTATTTTCATCAAAACATACACGTAGTCATGCCATTACTTAACATTTGGATCTGTGATTTCATTATATATTGATATAATAGTAATCTTGAAAAACATCCTACTATAAAGAATTTGTAATTTGGTAAAATGAAATTCACATTATATAAACAACTAATGTAAAAATGAAGAAAATCAGTGACCACAGCATTTTCATTCGGATCTCTAGTCACAGTCACATACATTTTTATATTTTTCTCTTGAAGATTTTTCTCTCTAGCAGGCAACAGATGGACTCAACTTGATTTAAGGAGATTCTATTTTGACTTACCGTTCCTACAAAATCAGTTCTGTTAAAAGGCACACTGTTGGATACCATATGAGGGGTGGGGTGTTCACATTAATGATTATATGAAATATGCAGTTTATGGATTTATGAATTATGTTATATGTACTTGATGTAATATATTTGTTCTTTTACAGATCAATTCCGTCTGAAATATGCACCAGTGAGTGAACAATCTGATAACAGTGAACAATAACATGATGTACAACTGCGTGACGGCAGTCAACAATATCACACTTTGATAACAAAAACAATACCACAATGTACAACGCTGTTATGACAAAAACAATAACAATAACACAATGTACATCGTTGTAATGACGGTAAACAATAACATTGCGGTATTGATAAGCACGCGCATGTGATATCCATGCTGGTATTTTTGATAAAACTTTAAAAGTGCAGAAAAAAACATTTTAAGATTTACTGATAGACAACTTTATAATAACGTTTTATGAGACCCAGCTTTATTGCATTTTAATTAACTGATTTAGGATTTGTTTTTTGAGTGACTATGAGTCTATAAATATTTCTGCGAAAATAACAAAAAATGACAAAGTGTTAATAGAAATTTACTGAAATAGTTTAACATTGTTGAACTTTACGAGTAGGAATTTCATAAAATGAATGTGTTGGAACTTATTTTTAATGTCACAATGCAAAATTTCTCATGCTTGTTTTAAACAGAGAGCGAGAGTATGACAAAAAACATTGTATCCCGGGTGTGCTATGTGGAGAAGCTCACACCTGATGACAGTGTTATTGCAGCTTTTTTAACTCTTATCAGTATTGTTGGGTATAATTTTTTTAACAAAAATTTCTATAAAATTATGTCTGCCATTGTTAGGGATAAGAGGTTCTACCCATGTGCATTATCAGCCCTGTATTGTATGTATGGGCATTGTTTTAAATTTGTAGGATGCAATCAGCTTGTATGTCTGTACGTTTTTATGCCCGATTTGCATCAACAGCTTTAAATAATATCACCCACATCGTTGGAAATGAAATGCGATGTGACCCAGAGTAAGAAAGTTGTTATTTTGATATCAGTGATAAAGAATACATGTATAGAAAAGCTGAATATTAAGTTAACATTATATGAAAAACTGAAGTGCACCTAACCATTATGAAATGCTGACATATATTACAAAAAATACATTAAGACGAGAATTTAATTGATGTAGCAGTATTGCCAAACCATATTACATGTGTTAACACATCCAGCCTGTGCTGTTTTATAACCGCTTCACACTAGGACTATGCGTGTCCAAAAGAAATCACTGTTTTGCCGTGTTTAAATTCTTAGTATGTGTTAAATAATATTTTGTGAAAGACAGGATACTCCAGAGAACACATGATAAAAGTTTGAGAAATGACGTAATGATAATAATTTTTTTTTATTTAGAGCACATTTCAAGGTAAAAGAATAACCTAAAGCACTTCATATTATCAATGCATATTGTCCACAGAGCTACATACTTTTTTGGGCAAAAACAAAACTGTTGGCACCTTGTTAATTTTCCTCTCTTTTGATATAGTTCAATTTTGTCAGATAAAAATTAAAAAGATTTGCTCAGAGAATATGGGGATTCCAAATTATGATTCATTCATTGATTACATTAAGTCTTATACACTGCAACTAGTTGTTTAATATGTAGCAACCCAAGCATTGGCAGTAAATTGAAATATCTGATAGTAATGAATAAAATTACAGAGCTGTCAGAAATTTTTCAAGTGATCAAATATTGTTAGTTAAGGATGACGTTACAGAGTAATTAAGTTACATTGGGTTTATTAATTATTTGCAAAAAAATAAACAAACAAACAAACAAAAGGAGATATGAACAAGTCAACAATAATTTTATTTAGGGCTAATGTTCCTTGAATTGCACTTAGCTTTATGTGTCGCAAGAACACACAAAACAATGTATATCATTCTTGTCTAAGTAAATCGTCTCATTTTTCCCATTCTCCATTTTCTCGTACAGCGTTGTACAGTTTTTTTTTTTTTGATGCACTTAATTGTAACAGACATACACTATTGCCTGGCTGAATTCGAGAGTAGGGATGGAAAGAACCCACACTAGCCACAGGATAAAACAAGGTAGCTCTAGCATATCAGTCTTGCTGCTATTTTATTAACACATCATAATGTCATTCTGGGCAATATGGAAGCAAAAATACCTGACATTTATTTTAATCTGCCATGACATTAGTTTTATTAAGTGTATGTGTGTATGTTTGTGTGAGTGTGAGTAGATTCTGTGCCAAAATAATGCCTCATGGGACAACTGCCTGTAGATACATATTTTTTAGTTGAACCTATCTGAAAAACATTGTTGGTATCAATATTTTACCAATGTTGTTGTGAACTTTATTACTCAAACTGTATGTCTATGCTGGGTTTCTGATATAATAGTGTCTTATGCGGCTGTGTATGTACCAGGTCATAATTATTTATAATATACAGGTAACAATTCTGTTGAGACATTTCATTACTCTTTTGTATAGTCTTTTCTAACCAAGATATCAATCAAAATATTCATATTAGTCAAAACATAAGCCATATCATGCTGCGGCTGTTTGGTTAAAAATTAGCGTTGAAATTCAAGAAAATTTTGAAATGTATTAGCAAATAAAAAAGAAAAAAAAAAATCTAGCAACCTATTGCATTCTGGGTACATCTGACCTTTGACATGTGCATTCACAATAATTCCCTGGAAATGATGTAATTTGTGTAGTTAGAATCTTTGAATACAAGATATTGTCTACTTTCAATCATTTATATCACTATTCTGACATTGTGGACTTCCAAGAACATTGGAGTTATTTTAAATTAACAGCCACATCAGGTAGAACAGTTTATATGCAATATATTTTGACCTAGTGCATCCATCCTAAGATGCATGTTAATCGCAGAACAATGTTAAAGTTAAAAAAAAAATTACATCACCACTCAAGAAACTGTTTTGATCTTTCATATTTATACTTGATTTCACATTGTGTTACAGTGTTTCAACAAATCTCAGTGTATATGAAATATATAATTTGTATCAAATTTTTCAGATGAAATTAAAAAAAAAACATTTGCTTTTGACTTTAATAGATGAATATTTGCTCCCAAACCATTTTTTGGTGAAAAATGTTTTCATTGTATAGAGATCTTAACTTAAAAAAAATGTACATAATTTATGAAGATTATTTTTTGTTTGTTTGATGCCTTTTTTGTTCATTTACAGTATTATTATGAAGTGGCAGTGTTATGAATTTCAATACTTACAGAAACAAAAATACAATACATTATTAAGAAAAGTTGACAAAGTATATTTCTAGTAAGGAAAAAAAGAACTTATAATTTTATTCAGCTAACTGTTAAGTGATTACAAAAAAAAATCATTAAAAAGATCTACAAAAATGGATTCATGTGTAGTGTCTCTTTATTATCTTACATGTGATAAAAGTGAAGGTGAGGTATAAAGGTTATCATGTCTGTCAGTTGTTGTTGAGTTTCTTGTGTCCAATATAACCCAGATAATTGTTGTCAAATATTTTTCAAACATGGTTACATTATCAAGCAATATATAATCTTTATTCAGTTCATATATTGCAGATATTGCAGGTATTTTAGTTATTTGACATTTCACCCCTGATAAAATTCTCATCTTGTACCATAATATTCAAGATTCATGTGACAAACTCGGATTTCAATAGATGGTGCCCTCTTTAGACCTAAATGCAACCCAACTGCAATCTTTTTGCCCCTGTACATTATATGTAGCGTACTATAAAATACTTTATTTTAGCTGGAATTAATTTTTGCTGGAAAAACTTTTTGGGTGTTTTGTATGAAATTTATTTTCACTGATTTGTGATGTGTTGAATGTAAAATATAGGAAAAAGGACTTTTCGCTGGATTTTATTTTTACTGAATCATTCCTTCAGCGAAAATCAATTCCAAGCGAAAATAAAGCATTCTACAGTATATACTATGCCTTCAGTGTCCACATTTCATTGATGGATGTTACTGATTGACTGAATGTTTTATTAAAAATTTGAGAAAAAAACATCAATAGTTACAGCTATTGTCGCTTTAATGAAATTCAACAATCCAATAGTTAATGTGGTTCTGAGTTCTACTTTATAAGAGAAAAAATCAGTCAGTCTCATTTAATTTTTAACCTGGGATCATTTAATTGTCTATGTAACACAAAAATAGTTACCGGTACTTGTGAAATACAAAAAATATGATCACAAACTGCAATTGCCGCAACATCTATTTATAAATGATGTCCTTATTTTTACATGTCCATGTCATCAAAATCTCCCTGAAATTTATTCTCGGGTAACATTCTCTCATTATTCTCAGGTAGGAACAGGTAACATTGAAATATATAAATCATTTTCAGACTTATGTAAATCAGAAATGTTATTATTGAATATTTCACTATGTTTAATGTTTAAGCTCCCAAATAGGATGCATTATAATTTTTCGCCAAATATCACAACAAATTTTCCTACATTTTTTCCTGTTGCCCACTCTGATATTGATTTCTACAAATACAGGGATAGGAGTTGGTGATAATCTAATATTGGATGGAAGGCCTTTTTCATTGATACTAAACACATACCGATAGTTCGACTCTGGTAACCTCTGGTTATCTTTCCCTTTGTTATATAATATTATTTCCTTTATCATATTTTGTTGAAATATGAATATGCATTTTCATAAACAAGTTTGTAGCATTGAAACAGCAGTGATTAATGTAAACATTGTTTTATTCATTCACACATTGGGGACAGAATATATGTGAGGGGGTATAATTAATGGCATATATTGGGGGGGCAGGAGATATCTTTTAACAGAGGAATTATTATTCATAGTCATTGGGTGCAGATAATCTGTTTGGGGGGGGGGTATAACTCATATTTGGAGCAGTATAACTACACATTGGGTACATAAAATTAGCATATCTTTGTGTGAGGGGTATAATTCAGGCACATATTGGAGGCAGTGTATCTGCATACCAGATGGTATAATTTATGGCTCACATTGAGGGCTGAATAACTTTGAAGGAAGGGGGGTTAATTCAGGGCACAAATCAAGAGCAGACTATATTTTTATGTTTCTCTCTAGTAAAAGAAATCAACAGGTCTGGACTACAGTGTGAATGACATTTTGGTATTTTTTTTGAAGAAAAAAAATGTATTAATTCAGGTATAGTACAAATATTTGCAGAGGAGGTATGGTTTCCATGAATTCAGTCTTGAGTCACAAATGAATGTCAATCTGCATTCAACTGGGGTGCAACACATAAACACATCACATGCTCAAAAATTGTGAGCATAGAATGTAAATTTGAACAGATAGGGGGTGCATTATTTTTGTTTTGATAACTTTTGACTTAAATGGTCATAATTTATGATTTTCTATCGGCTTCAGATCTTGATCAAAAGATTGGCACACAAAGGGTTAATCATAGAAGTGCTTATAATGATTATCTGACATCTTGTTTTCTGTTACATGTAAGATAGTTTATGTATTTTATTGGTATGTTTGCAAATGTTTTAGACTGCAACAATCCTCTCCATGAGTTGATTGAAACCCAGCTAGTATTCCTATAGGATTTGGGAGATACATAACCAATGATATTATTACAAGGTAAATGATTTGCTTCATTAAACACATACAGCGATGCATATTGCCACTGGGACTAGTATTACCATTGAATGTGTATCACCTGTGATCAGTCAACGTTTTTTATCTGATTTTGACTACTACTTTCTCAACTTTTGATTGATATTTTCACACAGGACATCTGTCATTTGCACTAAGGGAAGATTTTATACTGATGATTAGGTGACCAAATTTGATAAAGTTTGCAATAGAATTATTAAAGTTATTGTGCACATATTAACAATTATTAACAACGATGACAGCGACGATGACAACAACAACAACAGACGTTTTTCCCTTAATAAAATGTGCATAACCCCCCAAAAAGTAACATTTCTTCGTGAGGCATGCTGTAGCATGTTGGTCAATTTGGTACATAGGTAGTTTGAAAAAGGAGGATTTGTATTTCTTCTTTTTTTTGGGCATGTCAGATGTTACAGGAATGCAAGACTGACTGATTCACGAAAAATAAAAATGTACTAATGAGACACCGTGACAAAAAAAATTGCACTGATTGTGCACTTCCACCCTGATGATTTTAAATGGTTACTGTAAAATACTTTATTTTAGCTAGAATTATTTTTCGCTGAAAAGTGTTATTGGGTGTTTTGTATGGAATTTATTTTCACTGATTTCTGATGAGTTGAATGTGAAACATAGGAAAAAAGGTATATTTGCTGGATTTTATTTTAACTGATCATTCCTTCAGCGAAAATAGCGAAACATAAAATCAAGCAAAAAAGTATTTCACAGTAACCCCTGCCTGCCTAAATCGGTTACAATTTAGTACCGGTATATGTACATGTATACTGTTAGTGTAGTTCAATTTCTAATACTAGTTTATAATTTATTAGCATATGTTAATTAACTATTAAAATCAGTTTGGGATCAATTATTCGTGCATTATTTTTTACTGTGAAATCAATCACTTATAATAGAAAGTAGTGAAAATGTCTGTATTTTTTTAAGTTCAAGTAAAGTTTTTGAATCCCCACTAATAATCAAATGACAAGTTGTTGATGCGGTCGGCACATAGTGGCTTTAATCTGTTACTCCACCATTGTGCAAACTCGTGCAAAGCGATTGCAAAAATGGTATAATCAGAAACAACCTTATGCTAGTACTTTAAGTGATGCAGGCCAACATGTTCAATATTGTTTAAATTTTTAATCTCCAGTTTTTTTAATAAAACATTTCCTGTGTCATAGCGTTAAGTTGTAATGGTCGTCGCTGAAGTGCTGAAAGCATAGCATATACGCTATATAACGCTGTTTTACGTTACATCATACGAAAGTGGAAATTTTGCCCGTGGGTCTCCAGAGGGCACCATTTATTGAAATTCAGTTTTCTCAAGCGAACCAGAGGAATTACGATACAAGAAAATTACCAGAGGGCCCTTTGCGAAGTCCCTCTCTGTCAGCTTCTCACTAGGGATTTTATGTGCCAATTTGCATAACAGCGCATGTCATGCATCATAATTTTCTATAATTTCTGCTCTCTGCAAAAAAGGAGACTACTCAACCTTTAGTTTTCACATTGCATTTCATGTGACATTAGCATTGTGTGGGGTGACTTTGACATGCGTATGTCTGAAGCAGTATTTTGGTAAGATTTTGTCTTAGGTTATAAACAAAAAAAAATATGCAAAATTACAGCTATTGCGGGTTTAACATGTTTATATTCTTGCAGCCATTTTTAGAACACTTTAAAACATTGAGGGTGCTATCACCTCAACCCAATTACTTTTAAATACGATACAACAGAGTTCTCATTGTTCAATAGTAAACAAAACAAAATGGTCATGTTGAATCTGATCAAGATCTCATCATGTCCAATGTACCAAATTTGATCAAAACATGTTGAATCTGATCAAGATCTCATCATGTCCAATGTACCAAATTTGATCAAAACATGTTGAATCTGATCAAGATCTCATGTCCAATGTACCAAATTTGAACAAAACATGTTGAATCTGATCAAGATCTCATCATGTCCAATGTACCAAATTTGAACAAAACAATGTTGAATCTGATCAAGATCTCATCATGTCCAATGTACCAAATTTGAACAAAACATGTTGAATCTGATCAAGATCTCATCATGTCTAATGTACCAAATTTGAACAAAACATGTTGAATCTGATCAAGATCTCATCATGTCCAATGTACCAAATTTGAACAAAACATGTTGAATCTGATCAAGATCTCATCATGTCCAATGTACCAAATTTGAACAAAACATGTTGAATCTGATTAAGATCTCATCATGTCCAATGTACCAAATTTGATCAAAACATGTTGAATCTGATCAAGATCTCATCATGTCCAATGTACCAAATTTGAACAAAACATGTTGAATCTGATCAAGATCTCATCATGTCCAATGTACCAAATTTGAACAAAACATGTTGAATCTGATCAAGATCTCATCATGTCCAATGTACCAAATTTGAACAAAACTTATCCATACATGATCCAGATCCGGAATAGCAGAAATACAATAAAATGGCCGCCATTAGGCCATCTTAAATCTGATCTTTAAACGAATATATGCTGGACATGATGTATGAAGTATACATAAATTTTAAATGTGATTGGTCAAGACATGTCAGATATATGGTCAAAGGGCACATGTTATGAATTGTAGATGAAAGTGAACGGTACTCCAGATCAATACAACTGTATGTCAGCTACAATTACAAGGCAAGTTTTTCAAACCATAAATTATCTGCTGTTGTTGATGCCATTACTTGAACTGACTCGTCCATGCTGTGTCAGAATGGCCATCAATTAAACATCAGTTTTAAGCAAAAGCAACTCCATTTTTAAAATAAGTTTATTTACAAAATTTTCTTAATTGATAAATAAAAAAATTACATCAATTCAAAGTACAATATGGATTAAATATTTTCACACAATACTGATTCAAAAGTTATATATCATACACTCAAATAGAATCAGTTTTTTTCATGGATTGTTCTGAAGATTCATTCATTCATGGAGATGTCTTGTGTATTGATTTTCAGTAAATTGCACGAATTAGTAAAGATGTATTCATAAGTTTTCTACAATTTTTCACTGTAAACTAAATTTATGACATTGAAGTCACCACAGTCTTTGAGCAGGATTCGAGCTTCAGCTAATATAGTTCAACCATTTGTCATCATCGAGGATTGCTGGAAGAGTGTGACCAGTGCAATTTTTTTCTTATTTGTATAATTTTAGTTTTTCCTGGATGTGATATTATATCTCTGCAACACCTTGGATGTAATTTTTTTTTCTCCAGGTGTCCAGCTTGCAATTTTTTTCAACAAATCTTCAAGCCAACACCCATAATTTTGAATGTTTGCCCTGTTAAATACATAATGTATCGTGCACACATATGATTTTTTTGTAAGATTTGCAAGTCTGAAATTGCGAAACAAGTGAAAACTTATTTGGAGTTACAACATGTCACAACGTGTCAGCAACTTTCGGGAAATTTTGTCTTGACAAATAAAATCATCGAATTGTGAAAATTTCTAGGAGCAAAAGTTGTGGTTGTGATGTCTGTCACACTTGAAATTGATTTAAACAATGTCCAAACATGTACAATTCAAACCTATGAGCACCAACCTAAACTTCTGTCATCATTCATAAAACCCACAACAAATTTTTTTTATATTTTCTTTCCCAAAATCTTGATTAAGACTTGTAGACAGTAAAGATCGTCTATTTGGTTCAAAATTATCAAAAAAAAAATACATAAAACCACAGATAAAAAAAGAAAAATATTTTATTGGAAAAAAATTAAGTTGCTCAAAGGGTTAATTGAATCCTTTGCCTGAAAGAACCATGTGACATGTTATTTCGAAATATTGCATACGATTCTTGATAACTATCCAAGCCATAACAGGATGCCTGCCAATAGTGTCTGCACTAATGGTATGCATCACACTGGCAACAAACCTGATAACATTTTTAACAGATTATTTGCTACTTTGGGATTTATTGAAAGTGATTTTAATAAACAAAAAAATGTAGTATCATGCATTTTTATGTTATTTTGACAGTAGTTTCACAACTCCTCAGTTCGACAAAGAAAAATATGCTTTTTTTTTATATTTTGAAACTACACTTACAACTACAAAAGAAAGCTCACAAAAAATGTGTCTCGTCAGTTTCTATCTCTCATTTACAAAGAATATAAAGAAAATCTAAATAAATCCTTTCAAATAAAACACTGAATGCCAGAGTCAAAACAGATTGGGGAATTGGCCATATGGTTGTCTTTGAACTGTATAAAGATTTGACCTATTGACCTACAAATATACTATTTCAGTGTCGACGACTGTCCAAAACAGATATATCATGCTATTGGAATAACTACAAAACAACAAATTATCCATAGTCATAAGGCTATCTGACATATGTACAAGGTTATAGATGTCAAGTGATCTACATGTACACAGTGTTTTGAGGTACAAGCTGTATGACGTCAAACATGGCTGCAATCACAGTCATGTGTATCCCAGGAGTCTTTAGTCGATCACAAGTTAACTTTGCTATCAGTCTCACTAATGGTGCTGGTGTTTATAGTATCAGTGGGAGTTCTGATAGTGAAATATACGTCTAATTGATGCAACTTTAGCTCCAATTCAAACAAAACAAAGTTCCATTCCTTCCAAAATTTATTCCAAATGACGAAGTTCTGATTCCTAAATTCCTGAAATCTATACGTTGATTCTAGCATGGGCATACTGCGATTGGTGGAAATGGCCCAGACTATCCCTAGATATTTGGCTTGTGCATATAAAAAGAACTCTACTACCGATCTCTAAATATATTCAAAATTTCTCAGTGGTACAGTTACAGATATAATTGACTGATAGACAGCCAGTAAATAAGTGACTTCCTACCTACATATTGTTATAATTGGTTTGCGAGTGTATTTACTAGGAGAGGAACCGTTTTTCAGAACTAGATTGCCCTCGCACACACAACATTTCCTTCACTATTTAAAAATGATACATTTTTAAGCAGTCTGGATTTGAACTATTTTCATATCAACACTACGGAATGAGCTGAGCAGGTTGTTTGTGGTTTTAAGCAACATGTAGTTCACTATGATATGTACATGAATCAGTTGCAATTTTTTACTGGTCATTGGCCCGGCCATTATCCTTTGTTACAAAAAAAGTTAGGTAACACATGTACACTGACAACACACAACCTGTGATGGGACTGCAAAAAAAACAACATAAAACTCAGTACCGTAGTACAGTAATACTTTGTTAAAATACAGCAACCCTGATGTTATTGGTAGTTTTGTTTGGGGTCTCAGTTCTAGTAAACATCAGTCCATTAACTTGCTGTATTTCAACTATCAGTCAACAACATCCATGGGTAAAATTAGTGTAAAACAATTGGAAAGTGATGCAAATGGACCCTGGGAAGTAAAACAAAAGCTTGTTATGAGTGATAACTTAATGATGATGTGTGATGGATATTTGGCACTATAACAACCTAAGTAGCTACTTTGCATATAACTTGATGGCAGCACACCAACTAGTAATTTTGTTCATGCACTTTTTGGAATTCATGAAAAAAATCTAAAGCCCTGGTTTGGAAGAAATTGACAGGTATGATACCCAGATGAAATACTGGCACATTTTAGAAACTATGCCTGATTAGTGTAATCCTGGTCATAGGATCCAACTCATATATATGCATTCTTTTTTGTTCATGTAAAATAAAACAGTAAAAGAAACTGAGACTTTTGCCCTTTTCAGGTGGAAAACACAAATAGTGTGATAAATACATTGGTCGTCAATTGGAGAGCAATATAAGAATAAAACAGTTTACACAGATTCTCTCTGCGAACATAAAAACCAAAACACATATAGAAGACAACACATGAGAATGGTATACATGTCAGAGCCCACAATGCCACATCACTAAGTCAAATAAATCAGAAGAAATTAACATCGTGATTCGGCGTTGTATCCAATAAAAGGTACGGTACATGTAAATTCCTGGTAGAGTGTTGAGTGACGTGACTAAACGGTTTTAGTTTCTCAGTGCCTGTAACCTGCAACAAGAACAAACATTTCACACCATTATTAGATCAATGTAAATTTTGGGAAGGAATTTTTACAGTAAGTGGGATTTGGTCGATTATAACATGTACAGTGAGTGATTAGTTTGAAATGGCAGATTAACATATCTATTATCATATTCATTTCAACAATATTTGACAAAAATCAATGCTATTTTTTGGCCATTTGTAAATTGATTTTAAAACTACAGAAATCATTATTTAAATAATTATACATGTATAATGACGTTGTCTATGAAGAGTATATAGTGTATAGCGACATTTGTATGTATTGCATGCAACATACATAGCTCAAGTCGACTATATTTTATACAAGATTAATATCGATCATATTACCAATGCAAATTCATGCTCACCAAAAATAGGAACAAAATGGTACAATCCATTACATTAATTAGCAGCAAATTTAGTCAATGACTGGTCAAATTTTTACTGATGACATGAATTGGTTCGGTAGATCAAGAAATATGACAGGCAGTCAGTTTTAGAAGACATCACATGAATGAATGTAAAATAAAGTTGTTTACATTTTCTGTGTGTGTTCTGTACTTAATTGCATTTCCACCAAATGTGTAAAAAGTTAAAAACAGAAAATTTGTTAAAATGATACTGTGCTCTCCATTTTCTACTCATTACTGAAGGGTCTTATTTTTTAAACATCAAACAAACCTACAATTTAACTGACCTTCAAGAAAAAACAAATCTGCCTAACTCAGTGAGGAACCAAAACAAAGATGCCTAACTCAGTGAGGAACCAAAACAAAGCTGCCTAACTCAGATACGAACCAAACAAAGCTGCCTAACTCAGTTAGGAATGAAACAAAGCTGCCTGACTCAGATAGGAACCAAACAAAGCTGCCTAACTCAGATAGGAACCAAAACAAAGCTGCCTAACTCAGTGAGGAACTAAAACAAAGCTGCCTAACTCAGTCAGGAACCAAACAAAGCTGTCTAACTCAGTGAGGAACCAAAACAACCTGCCTAACTCAGTGAGGAACCAAAACAAAGCTGCCTAACTCAGTGAGGAATCAAAACAAAGCTGCCTAACTCAGTGAGGAACCAAAACAAAGCTGCCTAACTCAGTGAGGAACCAAAACAAAGCTGCCTAACTCAGTGAGGAACCAAAACAAAGCTGCCTAACTCAGTGAGGGACCGCTTTAACTCATATTGTGCAGTTAATTTCTCATTAAGCATGTACAATCTGAATATTTGATGGCGTACATATTAGTCATGGAATGGTATTCACAGATTTTGTGAAGTAGGAAAGCAACTTTAACATTATTTGATCAATTTTCAAATTTTAGTTCTAATTATCTGCGGTGGGTTTGCATCGATTAAACAAATCATACCTTCTAGAAAGTGTTTCCTCTTCATTTAATGACCGGTTAGTTGATGCTGACAAACCTCCTGATGGAACCTGAACATCATTCAACTGTGTCATCACCTCCAGTCCATTCTCTTCTGCAACTTGTTTAATTAATATATCCACTTGATCCGTGGGTGTGCTTAGTGTAGTAGCTGTGCTCATGGAGTCTTCCAGTACCTGTAATAATTAACAATTGAGGGGTAAACAGGTGTGTAGCTGATTAAATCAAGATTAAATTACACTGAAAAAGACTGTTTCATTGCAATTTTTCTGAATATTGTAGGATCAGAACAACTGATTATCTACTTCAATTTCAAAATATTGTCAGTTATTGTCAGTAATCTAATCTTACAATGCCCAGAGTAATCTCTGTATCAAAATCTTGGTGGTTTTCACTGTTAAAACACTTTTTTTAATTTTCTAGATATACTTTGATGTCTTGAGTTTTATCAGTTCAAATGATACACTAAAACTTTCCCGGAATGTACAAGTGCAAGACAACAAAATGAGCCAGGAACAGCGCCACCACTGCCCACATATGTTGATGCTATTGTTTATTTAACTATAGCCACTAGAGGGCATAGTACTTACGCTTGTGTGTACATCCAAATCTTCGAACTGTTTTTCAAATTTCTCCATTGTTGCAGAAACCTATAAATAAAAATATTCAAATTGTCTGTTAATAATTCCTGTAGTCCTATTCGGTAAATGCTAAGAAATGCTAACATGATGTTGTCTGAAATTAACATGATTTGATTTCTTCAGTGCGTTCACAAAAAAACTCAATTGCCATGCAAATCACTGAATAAACCCTGATAACATTTCCCAACTTCATAGTTTGTCATGTGAATATGTCTCACAGTACGACACATTGAATACCCAATACATTCATTACAGCTTTTGAAAAGTTTAATGAGGTATACATGTACTAGAAATGATAAGGACTGTGTCTACAGGGGGCACACTTTGTACAAGAGAATCCACGGCATATTATATGCCAAACCAAACAGCTGTAACACCCAACTTTCTGATTTAATTTTCAAAATCTGGCACATAATAAACAGACTTGGGTTAAAGGGTAGTGTTTGCATCGTTCAAGTTTTATGTATATCAACAATACATTTTACCCGCATTGGCATACATTGCTATGCGTAATATGGGACCCACATGGACCACAGACATTACAAGAGAGTCTATGATTGAATATGATTCAATTACAAAATCTTCTGGTTGCCATTCATTTCTATTATTGCTGTTTATATTAGTTACCTTTTGAAGATCCATTGATGCCATTGCTTTATCCAATCCTTTCACTACTTGTCCCATATTCTTTGTAACCTAGGTGCAACACAAAAACACATGAACTATATTAAGGATTAAGTTCTATTCAGAACATTCAAGCTCAATTAAAGTTTGGCATCAAATCAGATGATTACAATAAACTGTGTTTCTCATTTACTATTGACTACACTGACTACAACATTGATCACTGATTACAACACTTTCTATTGATTACAGCATTGAGTTACACTGATTAATAATTACAATGTTAATTACAATACTTAGTATTGATTACAGCCCTTATTACAACACTGACTATTAATTACAATGTTGATTACAATACTTAGTATTGATTACAGCCCTTATTACAACACTGATTAATAATTACAATGTTGATTACAATACTTAGTATTGATTACAGCCCTATTTACAACACTGACTATTGATTACCAGACTGATCATTGATTATAACACTGATCATTGATTACAACACTGATCATTGATTACAACACTGATCATTGATTACAACACTAATTACAACACTGATCATCGATTACAACACTGATCATCGATTACAACACTGATCATTGATTACAACACTGATTATTGATTACAACACTGATCATTGATTACAACACTGATCATTGATTACAACACTGATCATTGATTACAATACTAATTATTGATTACAACACAAATTACAACAGTGATCATTGATTACAACAGTGATCATTGATTACAACACTGATCATTGATTACAACACTAATTATTGATTACAACACTGATCATTGATTACAACACTGATCATTGATTACAATACTAATTATTGATTACAACACAAATTACAACACTGATCATTGATTACAACACTGATCATTGATTACAACACTGATCATTGATTACAACACTGATCATTGATTACAACACTGATCATTAATCACAACAAGTCAATAAGCTCAGTTTATTGTATGAGATCACCAATGAGCAAATGAGAGTGCAGAATGTAGCGACACAGGCGGCTTTTCAAGACAAAAATATTTTATCATATTACACCCTTTTTAAGCTTTATTGACGTCCAAGTAAGACATAGTCATTTTTAAGATATTGTGGTTTGTTCTAAGCTGTTTTTGATTTTGCCCAACATGTTAATTAATAACATACATAGAGAACTGTTTCAAAACAAGAGAGGAAAAACTGAAAACATTATAGTCAGCTATCTCAAGATAAGGTCATGTACATGCATTAGTAATCCAAACATTCACCAACACAAATATGGAAAACAACCCAATTCACTTTTTAGTTTACCATTTTTTTTTCTACTTTTATTTACTATTTTTTTATTTTTTTTTTATTTTTAATTTTCCTGTGTGTATTTTTATTCTCACTTTAATTGTTTGTTTGTCTTTATTCACATCTGTATTGCATTTTAGTCAAAATCATAATGGGAATACAAATGCAATAAAGATAATTGTTATTATTACATGCCACCAAGGTCCGGCTTTCGGTATGCATTGGATTTGTAGTTTTTTTTTTTTCAAGGTCATGGCTGTCAACCTGTGGTGATAAAGCATTTACTGTGTGCGCTCCACGACTTATTTACCTTGTAAAGTAATGATGCAGTCTATTTTTTTAAATTCCGTTTGATTACCGTACTCGACTGTGTTAGCGCCCATGCCCGGGCAAGCGCCCACCCCCCACTTTTGCGCAATTTTTATATTTGGGGTCACATTCGGCAAAGCGCCCACCCCTTCAAAATGCAACTAATTTAAAACTTGGTCTTGCGTAACGAATCTTGGTAACCGTTTTTATATGATACAGCGTAGATATCGACCGCTGTGAACATGTTGTGAATGCGTAGAACACGGTAACCGTGCGTAAACTACGCTTCACCAATGACCTGTTAATACAAGTAAAATGCGGTAAATATTTCATGCCATATTCAGTTTACCTCTCAAAAATGGCTAGTTACTAGTTTTTTGGAAAAACCATGTCGTTTATTCGCTGAAATCAATTCCAACAGATCGTACTTCGACATTGATAATTCACTTCCGCATTGCGTTACCGGAAAGTCTTCGGGAATTTCCGAAGAATTGCGTCAGTACAACACAGCATTGTGATTGGTTAATAACCAACTTGACCCATTAGGTCAAAGGACGCCGCTGCAGGTGAAATCTGCAAATGCATCATGGCGGAAAGTGAGAGTTTGCGTACGATCCAACACCTTCATCAGTGGAGATAATATGACAATTTTGACTTCGACTGTGTTCCAACAGACTCAAATGTTTTTAATTTTGTAAATTCTGGTGGTACGTAATTAATATTGTAATAAAATGTGCATATTTTTTGTGATCATTTCTGTTTCTTCGTTGTGAAAATCAATGACGACTCAACTAATTTCGTAATTTGATTTCTCTCAAAGACGTAATCTGTCGCTTGATGAATCAAATTTTTCATTTGCACTCTTTTTCGAGGGGGTGCTCGGGTAAGTGCCCACCCCTAAAAAATCGTGATTTTCTGAGTTGAGGCCCCTGGGCGCTAACGCGGTCGAGTACGGTATTTATTAGGTTTTGTAATTTTAGACATTGATTGTCTAAATTGTTTCTTCACAATATAAAACACTAGTTTTTTGTTCCTTGTTGAGCTGTCAACTTGATAACAAATATCATCTTCCTTTCATACATGTATTACTACAACTTCTGACCATAATTTTTTCAACAATCTACCTGTACCATCCATTGCCATGTCAAAGGAATTTATACATGTATATACATACATGTTTTCTCTTAAGATTACTGTCAAGAACATGATTTTAGTTCATGCCGAGTGTTCAGAGAGCCAATCTCAACAGAGGATTGTTTCAATCTCTATGACCCAAGCTAGAGTATTTTTTGCGTCATCAAGAGCAGCTCAGTGTATGCCATAATATGATTTTAAACAGTCAGAATTGTGATTTTAAATGTGAATGCCACTAATGTACGTATAATATATTTTAGGGTGGAAACAATGGAGCTTGTATAATACTGTAAAATACTTCATTTTAGCTGGAATTAATTTTCGCTGAAAAGACTTTTTGAATGTTTTGTATGGAATTTATTTTCACTGACTTTTGATGAGTTGAATGTAAAATATAGGAATTCACTGGATTTTATTTTCGCCGAATCATTCCTTCAGCAAAAATAAATTCCAAGTGAAAATAAAGTATTTTTTTTCATACCATTTTCATTGTCATTGCAGTCTGGACTTTAGAAGCAACACCATCCACTCTTGCAGATAACCGTAAATAGTTTAAACCTTCATTCTTTTTTCGAATAGCATTTTCGGCATATATCTTGGCTCTCTCAACATCCCTTTGTTGTAGTGCCTGTCATCGATAAAAAATAAATTAGCAAAATACAATTAATTAAGTTAATTACCGGTACATGTCAAAAAAATAAGTATCATAAGATTTTTATTGTTGAGGTACTAATAATTTTGAACTTTTGTGTAATGTTTTCTAATTCTTACCAATAACTTGGAACTGGGCATACCTTGGCATCAGTGTTCTCTCAAACATAACTGAGCAGTTTTAAGGCCAAAAAGTCAGAAAATAAAATGTTGGATCATCCTGTTATGGGCCATGTTCAACCGGCGAGAGATCCACTAAATGAAAGATGTTTAGTACAGCCCACTCCCCTTGCTAGACAGGTGTACAGGAATCACAAAATGACCCATAATTCCCATTATAAAATATTATATAATTATAATTTATGAATAAAACTGCTGCAACACGGTTAATTAGACAATACTGGGTTATACAATCATGAAAGCTATGATATGTCTATTCTAGTGATTGTCAACAAAAATCATTCAGAATAAAAATTACCTCACCTTTTTCACTTTAGCGGTTTCTGACTTTTGATCCTTTTCTGCTTTCTTAGCTAGCCTTGCTAACTGCTTTGACGTAAACTGGGAATCATAAATGAAATTAACGTCATATTTTTGTACATGCATTCACAACAGCTATATTTGTAAGCTACAGTGACACTATGGTACATTCTGCCGTAAATTCGCCCATCCAAAAAATCGCCCTGGGCGGTTTCACGACTGGTGGGCCCTTATTTGGGGTTCAAATTTTCAAAAAATTATCATCAAATATTTTTAAGGGGCTTATATTTTCATTGAAAAATCCACCTACACCGACTTTCAACACCAGCAGTTGGACCACCCAAAACGAAAGAAACTAAAATTGTATACATTTTTTTCTAGCTGGATAAATAAGTAGACAGTGCATCTTTCTCCAATAAAATCACATTAATGAACATCGTGCGCCAAATACAATTATTTTGTTTCATTTTATTAGTAACGAAAGTATATTCTAAAAGAAGTTTCAAATAACAATGAACACAACTGCATTGCTTATTAGCGAATGATCGTGGTACCGCAATCCGGTCATGCTGCGTTTTACAATTGTTGATTATTACCTAGTAATGATTATAATAACGTGCAAAAAATAAATTCGTTGATTTGTTATCAAATGCAAATAAATTTCAACTTATTTCATCGTAAGCGAATGATTCCAATGGCATTTTCAACGCTCGATGCTGTAGAAATGAATATCCGCCATGTTTTGTAACTTTTAGGCATCAGAAAAGATTAAAATAGCACCTTAAAAAACTGCCAAAAAATAATGTTTAAAATGGAATATGAATTTGAAGGATATTTAACAGAAATTCAGGACTTCAATTTGAGAAGAATGGATACCAAGTTTAGACTTACCGGTAGTGACCATAATTTGGAAATAGAATTGGGCAGGAGAAAATTTCCAAGAATTGAGGCAAATTGCAGATTGTGTAAAAAATGCAACACAGGTACTGTAGAAGATGAAAAACATTACATCCTTGACTGTTGCTTCTTCACTCAAGAAAGAAATATCCTCTTAGAAGACTGTAAATTAGAAATGTGTAGTACAGCTAACCAAAATTTAATATTCACCTGCATTATAAATAATAGTACTGCACTTGCAAAATACTTAAAAAACACAATTTATAAAACCTAATTGTAATACGTATTTTATATATACCCTTTGTTTTGTTTGTAATTTTGAAACTTTTGTTGTTTGTTGTTTATTTGTGTTTTCTGATCTGTATCCTTACCATACAGCACCCACCGATGGTGCAGTTGTGTAATAAAGTTATTATTATTATATACAACGAGTGTAAAATACAATTGTTTATTTACATGAAATTCGAACACGTGCTGCGCGACGACCACCGCGCTTTAACTGCTTAGGTACATTGCTCTATTGATATATGTGGTTTATAAACATGTAATCAGATTATTGAAACAAAGACAGTTTTTCCAGACACAATTCCTGCACATGAGCAGGTGATGACCCCTCCGCTTTAAAGCAAGACCAAACACTTTAAGATATACACTGGAATAATTTACCTCTTATATACAGTGTATATAATTACGAGAGAATAATCCATCACTATCATGCTAAGTGCTACAACAATTAATCAAGATTAACACTCTAAACAATGAATTGGCCTCAATTTTGTAAGTACAACTAAGTGTGTTACCCCCCTTTACATTAGCTCTTTATTGTAGAGTGAATAGAGGGTCTGACAGGCTCTGCCACCAAATTAAAGAGTATTCATGATTTAATGTTAGCACTTATTGAATGCCCAAGACTTTAGGGTGAGTGAAGGAGAGTGTTTGTTTTGTTTTAAATTGGCATTTAACTAATATGTTTGGGACATTTGGCAAATGTCACTGATGTTGTGGATGGGGGTTGAATTGAATGGTGCATTATCCAGACCACGCTACGATGTCTGGTCTCTTTACCTTTCTCTGGAACCAACGATCAGTGACTGTATAATTGTTATGACAGTAATCAACTTACTTTCAACTGGAACATCGTGTCTGGAAGAATCATTGAACACCCGGAAATGAAAGAAAATGACATGTTAGTTTCGGTTCTGAATATTGTTGTATGTCAATAGTTTGGAACGTCTATTTGAAAAGGTATTATTTATATTATTGCCATAATACATACCTTCTATACCAGACATTGTTGATCACTTTTGGGAAACAAACTAGACAGAGAATATCTCAAATTGATTTGATGCGCTAACTCAGCACGAACGATACAACAACTATCACTGTTGTGGTAAGTTGATGTTGACGTCACTGTACCCGTTCCCGTTTACCGTTAGTAACGCGTTATTTGGTTGGTTTAGAAAAGAATACCGAATAGGTGATTTTAAGAGCAACTCATAATCCTGACTAGGTCGTCGCTGGAATCGCTCTGGAATATTGATTAGGTAAATGTGGTAATATAATTCACATCAATTTCATTTCATTGGTGAAAGTATCTGAGTTGAGGAAGGTGAATCACGGGCCAATCGTAAATGGCGTTACATTGACTCACCGATGAAGTTTGAGCATGCGCTAATGAATGAGTCAGTGTCATGAATGTCGTACGTAGATGTCACGCAAGTGGTCGCATCGCAAAAATTGTGCAGATCATTTGATAGTCAGCAGGACTATAAAAGGTTGGTCAATAATGTGTAGTGTTTATATGTTCAAAGACTTGTATGACAAACAAAGGGCCGGTCCAGCAAAAGGGCGGAGGGTGGTGGGGGCCAACTTCTTGCCCATCATGATACATATATGTATCACGGTTACTAGAAGTTCTG